CACCGGAAGCCCGGCTAGCTTTCGTTCACCCCCTCTGGCCTCAAGTTTAGGTTGGCCTGCAAGCCAACCATCCTTCACCGTTCCTGCCCCCCAAAAAGGGATAGATAGATCATAATGGATGTTCATCCACCGATTTCAGTACGTCCCTTGAGGCAGGATCCGTCCTTACTGCGGGTGAACCAACTGAAGGACCGGACCTCCAACCGGCCGCGCTCCTTCGTCCCACGTGACTCGCCAACGCGTTCCGCGTTCCACGGGCCGCGCGGAACGGAACCACGCTCCAGCTCCATCGAGTGCTTCGACCCGCACAGAGGCTTTTGGAGGCGACGGTGTGACGTGCGCGACGCGACGGTGATGGGAGGTCGGAGGGGTTGCTGGGGCGACGGCGCCCCGTGGGTTGGTTGGCCACTCACCACTGGAGCTGTGGAAACGGTAGAGGTCAGTCCCACTGATGCCTCACGATGGAGCGCTTCAGTCTTGCTTGTGTGGTCCAGATTTGGTATGTCCTTCTTTTCACCCCACAACGGTTTCCTTCAAACATGTCCACTAAAGGGCGCAAGTTCAGATCAAACTCCTTGGCTTGTCCTGGATTTCTTCCGTTCAACCTTTCTGGCGGCTAGGCCGGAAAAGTCCCCCTCGCAAGCGTCGCTCCAAACGGTTCCAGATTTCATGGGAGGAAGCCAGCTCCGCCAGGAAGCTCCGCTCCATGCTGTCTCGCCGCGCGGGCGCCGCCTGCGTGCGGGCGCCCGGACAATGAACTAACTGGGATGGTCTCGCACCTTGGCGACGAGTGGTGTGGACGACCGGTGGTGTGACGCACACAGAGGTCCGGGTCCCGGTCAAAGGGATGCTCGAAGTTGATCGCACCCCACAGTCCTCTTGCTGGAAGGTCTCCTGGGTGTAGCACCTTCAGAGACTCACTGGTGGCCGGGGTTTCTTGGCGATACCAGGACCAGGCGATACCAGGCTGAGTGAACTGACCATGCAACTGACCATGCGAGCTTGAAGGATCCGACTGCTGAGCTCGACTATCCCAGTTCGGTACCCCAACTGAGTCGGGTCCTGTCCGGTCCATTCATCCACTGGACGTGGCGAGGCCGTGGTCAGTGGCCAGCTCTACAGCCCGCAGCCTCAGCGAGCGCGGAAGAGGCGTGAGGTGAGACATTAAGACGTGTGATTGGAAAAACGCATCATATGACATGCAATACGCCAGGGCCCCCCGGTTGGGGGTGCTTAATGGATACCCCGAATCACCTCTAAGGAGCTATAATTAGACAGAGGAACTGGTGCAGTGAAAAGGCATAGGTCCGTAGATGTGATGCAGTTGTGAGGCTGTGAGGCCGAACGTGTCTTTTCGCGGTTTGCTCCCCCCCAAAACTGCGAGCTGGAGTCCGTGGCCAGCCCCCAAATGTAGCTTGATTTTGCGCTACAACACCAGGGTCGTCCCTCATGTTTTGAATGGTCCAACGGGTTCGTCTCATGGCCAGGGGTCACAAGACGGGGTGGTGTTGAGTCCCCATCCATGGCTGTGGCTGTGTTCAGGGGCACCCCCGACGACCGGATCGCACCCCCCTAACCTCACGTGACCCTTTGGGGTTGGTTTTTCGTTGAGAGGACCACAACCACCACCGCCGGAAGCCGGAAGGACACGTCACCGTGCGACTCGGTGCCCCGAAGAAGGGCGCTGCGCGATGCGGGCCACACGGGGGCCGATGCTCCCGAGCCGTGTCGGGTTCGACCGGTGGTCGATGTCTCCGGCACGAAGGCACCCATGTTGGGTCGAGTCCTGTGGGCTTCCAGTTTCTGAGCATCTTTTTTCGCATGTGGGCTGTTGTGCCTACACTTGTGCTGGTAAGCTCTGAATGACAGCGGAAGTGAAGAGGGCGACCGCAGCTCCAAATTCTTCAGGCCTCAGCCTTCCCCCCCCTCCCCGGCAGACCGCGGCCTTCGTTGGTGGTTTTCTCTATCTCTCCGCGCGTCGGCCGAGTCTGTGGTGGCTACGATGGCGCGCAGAACCTCCAAGAGTGTGAGCGCTTGGACCCGGCGCAAGGCGCGGACCAGCGCGGACGGCGGACCGCGGACCGCGCCCGGTGACACCGCGCCAGACTCCGACTTGGAGCTGGTCCTCTCGGGGTTCGGGGAAAGAAGCCGCGCCGGACGAGCAGTTGCTGGTTGGGTGGGAAATGGATCAGCTACATGACCCTCCTGCTTGAGCCACGCAGTGGTTGCAAGGGAATTGGGGGACACCTCACTCAACAAGAGCAGGTGGAGTTCGTTCGGTTCATTTTTTTCCATGCAAACCGAGGGCCGCAGGGTTGGTCGCCGGGTCACAAGAAGGGGAGTCCATGGAGTCGAAGAAGGTCCAGCCGATCGTCAGCGATTTTGGGCGTCCCAAGGATCTTGGAAACCAAGACTCCGGTATCTTCCCATCCTCATGAAGTCGGGTTCTTTTCCGTCATGACTTCCCAGCAGCACAGGCGCAGGAGACGCTCAGGGGACATTCTGCTGGGACCCTGGGACGCACTCCGGAAGACCCATTGAGTTGTTCAGGCCGCTGCGATGGAGTGAGTAGACCGGACACGGAAGCCGTGCTCCGCCTCGCGCCACCCTCGCGCCACCCGCGCCCCTTCAGGCATGTGGGAGCTCCTACCGTCGATGCCGCGGCGGTGTGGATACTGCGCGCCTTGGGCCGTCAAAACCATCTTGGACGCGGTGACCGCGGTCGTTGGACGCGGGGAGGCAGCTCCGTAAGCTTTCGAAGGTATGCGCGGCAGACCTGTCAGGGTTCGAAGGTATGGGCGGACTTCGAAGCCCAAACCTCACGCAACATCGCCCGCGGTGTTTGGGTTTCTTGCCAAGAGCCAAGCGCATATGAATAGATGTTGGTACTACAAAAGCTAAGCCCGACTCTGGATTGGACCCTCTGACTAATGTTTTTCAAGTGGGTTGAACATGTTGAAAAACACCAACCGGTGTTGGTATAAAAGCTAAGACTCCAAAAGTCCAGTTTTGCCCACCTGGTCCCCTGCCCCATTCCGACCTTTCTCCGACCCAGGCCGGCGCCTCCTCCTGATCAATGTGACCGGGCAACAAAACTGGGGGGCAGAAGGCGCCAGAAGGCGGTGTCGTGCAAGGAGATGTGGTTACGTGGGTTGAAACCCTAATCCCCTTCAGATGTGAATCAACCTTCCAGGTAGGGGGCTCTTGTCAAGCAACGGTCAACAGTACCATCCACGTGAAAGCAATGGAAAACAAGGGGCTCTCGGTGACACCTTTTCCCATGACGGTGTGTTTTGGTCCTTGGTTGTTGGTTCGTTCATTTTCGGTGGTCAACCAGGTTTGGATCCACCATTTCTAAGCATGAGACATAGTCCGTTGTAGAAGTCGAATCAGTCTAGAGATGCTCGAAATCCAGACGCAACTGGCGGTGAGTTCTCCGGAGAGAACTCCTCGCCTTGCCTCGGGCCTATCGGACCTATGAGGGGGTGTCCCAAATACCACCTGTGTCGCTCCACTGGCACCGATTGCATTGATTCGCGCGACCGAGGAACATGCTCCGTCGTTCGCATGCGTTTCGGCGGCGTGGCAAAGCACTGAGAGAAGTCGAGAGGAAAAGGGATGCGAGGTCTTGGTGTCGATGTCATTTCCATGTCCCAAGACCTGCCCCAGACCTTTTTGGTTCGGCTTTACCACTTGAGGCAGTGTCCCCTGACAGTTAGATGGACATGTCCCTTTGATGATGTCCATGAAGCAGAAGAAGTGTTTGTTGGTTTGCCCATGGACTGATGCTGAAGGGCAATGAGTGAAGAGGGAGTCCGCGGGGCGTTCTGAACGTCTTCCAACGTTGGCGGCGGCGGCCGGAAAGACCAAATCGGAAGACCAAATGGCAGGGGATGGAGGAATCCTCCACTTTCATGGGTAGGCCTTGCAGGGAGGGTAGATCGATGCCGAGAACATGGTCGTCAAGTGGTCATCTCATGCCATGGCATGACCTACGGCGTTGTTTGATTGGAGGGGAGGCCCAACAGTCCCAGCCGTGTAATAGGGTCATATAGTTATATATATATATACATATATATGTCATAGGGATTCATAGGGTATTTTGTGGTACCTGGAGCTGAGCCCGATGTGGCACCTGGTGCGGTCTCACGGTCTCGGAATTGGTGGAATTTGGCCCGAGACACGTCCAGAGGCTTCATGGGAAGAAGGCGATCAGGTGACCTATGTGATATCCCTCTTGATCACACTGGGCAAGGAATGATCGGCCAATTGGTTTGATGACACATTTATCAGGCAATCTCAGATATCACAGACATGACACATCCAACTTATCATTACTTTGACCAACTTGGCCATTGTTGATCATTGATCATGGGTGCCCTGGACTCCAGGTTCTCCGATTCGTCACTGGGGACCTGGTGGGCAGACACCACGATCGCTCATTCTCACCCGGGTGAACGCGCCACGATCGCACACCCCCGCCATGGATGGGCAAGAGGAATTTGCAGAGGTGGGAGGGCGGTCTCGGAGTTCGCAACTCCTTCTGTTTGCGCAGCTTCTAACACAGAGTGGTTCCCCGCGTTCCGAAGCTCGACGGTTCCGTCATTCATTGCTGGTCCGCTTGAACGGCTGGGTCGATGGGGGGTGTTGACCCAGGTTACCCGTTCCGTGCTCCACGTTTGTTGAGGGATGTTCACCCCTGACGATCTTGTTGGATGTACACATCAGCACCGTCAGCCCTTCGTGGTGGTGGAGACCTGGGTGTGTTACATTCGGTTCAGGGACCTTGGAGTGAAGAGGGAACTGAAGAGGGAAGGAAGTCATTACAGTCAATTGAGTTCACCTTTTACAAGAAGGGCTGCTGCTACAAACGAACAGAAACGAACTGATGGTCCCAAAATAGATAGTACGTGGCACGATTTCCGATACATTTTGAACGGTGTTTCACTTTTCGGTCCTCTCTCTCTCTCTCTATTTTTGCCCTATCTATCACCGCTGCTGCCAACGTCAGGTTGCTGGCCCAGAGTGCCAACCTAGAAGAGCTCATAGCCATCGCAGCCGAGTGGCACGGCCAATTTAAGGAGTGTCAGGTGAGAGGGTCGATTTCCACTGCTTCTATTGGGTTTCATGACCTTTTTTTTGGCTTTCTGCTGTTTCAGGATTGTTTTCTTTTAAAGGTGATTTTTGTGCTTAAAATCGTGGGGTACATGACATGGGAATTGTTTGAGCCATCTCGGGGCAGATCCTGGTCCTGCCGTAGTGCTTCTTCGGGGTTTCAGCCTTTCATTTTCGCCGTCCAAGACGGCTTCAGAAGAAAGATTCTTTAGATGAATTGTTGGTACGCAAGTCAAATTTCGTCCAACAACAACTTATACTGTGAGGCTTTGAGTTCCAGTAGTGCTTTGCTCGTGGTGCTTTGCACGACCTTCGGTTTTTTCTCCTCTGTTCGCCACAGCCAGATGGGCCGTCCCCAAAAGCGTTTCAGAGCATCTCAAAGACCTTCATATTTCCAGGTGGCACCCCTCGTGGGAACCTCTGGGAGGCAGGAATATAAGTAGTGGGTCGCAAAGTCTAGAAAGTAAAACCCCCAAACAGTGTATATACATATATGTATACTGAGAGATGCCAAGAGCAAAGCTTGTGGATTGTTACTAAGAGTTCTTCTGGGAAGTGGATGTAGCCATTTTGGGCATTGGTTTCTTACTTCTGGCCTTTTCCAAGCAGGTGGATGGCCCTTCTTCCATCGCCAGGCCCAATTGACTGCACCCTCCGAGGTTCCGGCCGCTACACAGGCCGGGCTCCCCGCACGCGTGGGACTCCGCGTGGAGTCAGGTCAGGTCGTCAGTCCCACCGTCCGGACGCCGAGACGTTGCAGAGCTTCGGTCCTGGAAGCGCGTTGAGCGTTTGCAGCTGCGAGTTGAGGGCTTCAGGCTCCTGGTCTATGTGCTTCTTAGGTTTGGGTTGAATAGTTTTTGTTCCTTTCCCGGCTCGCCTACATCCAAGTTAGTGGCTTGCCCCTACCAGGCCCACAGTCCACGACCCATTTCGCGGCCTGACGCCATCAGGTGGCTCCCGATCTCCCATGCCACGGCCTGGCACCGCCTGCAGAAGTTTGGCGCCCGTGGCCGTGGTGCCATCCCCCGCAACGGTGGCGCGCTAGCGCTGGCGCGCGAGCTGACCGAGGCGACTGCGAGCTGACCGGGAGTTCTTGGAGCGGGACGGGCGTTCGAAGGCGGTTGAGAAAGGATGAACTAAGGAGGAGATTCTTGTATGCTCAGGTTCTCAGGTTCGCGGCCGTTTCTTTTTGGGGGGATGGTGTGGCAATTCACAAGCCAACCTGGTACCTGTTGTAGTTACTTCTCTGGGGTGGAGTTGGGCGACATGAACACCCTAACTCCCTCCGCCTGACCATGTCATGGTTCTTCTCCAAAATCCTGACCTCCGCCCCAGGTCAGGGCTGAACCCGCTTCCACCGTCATAACTTGCTATTCATGCTTGGAGTTTTCTCCGGTGGCACCGGGAGAAGTGGCGAAGAGTTCAACTTGGGCGTGCACAAGGTTCGACATGTACCAAACACCAAGGCTGCAGACATAAACTCCCAGGTTGGAGGCGGTTCTTTCGGACCTGACCTCATGCGATCGTGGTGTTTTCTGGTTTCTGGGGGTCGACTGAGTCTGATGCCGCCATGGCGGTCGTGCCTGCATAGTGTGGGACCTCCGCCACCAGTTGCACCTTTGACCGGACCGTGCTCCTTCTCGACCCACCCCAGGTTCGCAGAACAGCTTCCCCCCCCCCCAAAGTTCTCACCCGGCTCGAACGTCTCGGTCGATGCTTCGTTGCGCCTTGGCCCGGCTCGAGGGAGGAGGTTTCGAAGGAATCCACCGGAGCGTCGAGGGAGACGCCGCCTCGACGCCAACTCATCCTGCTCCGCCCACAGCCGATTCGCGGCCGGCGCGGCAGGCGTTCCCCGACGTGGCCCGGCTGGATGTCGCGGTCGCCCAGAAGGATGGACGGGGGCTGGGTGGACGGGGTTGGCCTGGATGCAGCTCGAGGGGGTCTTCAGTCACATTGGATCACATTGGACAGCCGAAGAAGAAGCAGGATGTGAGAAGGACCCTCCATGTGGCCCGCCGGAGGCCCTTCATGTGGGCGACCGGAGCCCCGTCGGCCTGGCATCGGAGAAACACCTGGTGGTGTTCGGGGTCGAGGATCGAGGTTCGTTTTGGGAGGCTTCAGCATGGGCAATCAGCCACCTTCTTACAGGGCACCCCTCCACCTGTGCGGCGTTCCGGACGCACCCGTTCCATGCGGCAGCCCCCCGAGGCGCGGGGCGCGGCGAACATCTTGTTCGCCTGGGCCAGCCTGCGCTTTCGCGAGGGGCGCGGAGGGGGACCCGTGCGGCGGTGTGCGGGAACCTTTGTGACTGCCATTGGTTCGGCGGCCGGAGTGGCGACATGCGGCGATCAGGTTGTACACCCTGAGGCGTTTTGTAGGGGTTTTCAGAGCTCCATGGGCCTCCAAAAGTGTCAAAGAAGAAGGGTCTCATTCAAAAGCACTTGCACAAAGAACCACTTCATAAGCCTTTTTTGCTTTGTAAGGGGGATTTGCAACGCCTTTCGCGCGTCTTCCCAGGGACCGTGGGACTGAACCAGGTCTGCGACCGCACGGCTGCACTTGCGACTGGCTGCGCAGCACTTGGCTCGGCGTTGCGCAGCACGGATTTTACATTCACCATCTGATGCAACTTATTTTTTGGGGGGAGGCGTTGCAAGGTACCAGGGGCCCGCAAACCATCAAAGACCCGGTTTTCTCTAGCAAAACACATGGTTTTTGTATGTGAAAACCTTTGTTTTTCATGGTTTTGAGGGCCCCTGGTAAGGCATGGTTTTTGAGATGTTCTCAGCCGATTCCAAGCCGCCTTTCCATGTCAGATCTAGGATGAGCATGGTGTGCCCTCCCTAGTAGAGACACTCCTGTAGTAGATACACTCCCACTTTTCACTAGCTTATTGAGACGGCCCAGGTGGCGGATCATCAGGATGGTTTCTATGGGATGTTTCATGCAACCGTCGCCCTGGTGCTTTTTGTTTTGCACCCACTCTGACACCCATCATTCGCTGGAAATCCGCGCCCCCCTGGACCGGAGTGAGTTGCAATCCCATGCCCGCCTTTCAGCCACTCCACCATTCCCATCCTCAGTTGGTTTGGTGGCCTTTGGCCTTCTGCCCAATCCGACGACGCCCATTTGCACCACTTCCTCCCCCAACCCGTGGCGGGGTTGGCCATGGCGGCATGGTGTCTCCTTACAGCGTGTTGCGCTTGCAGGCGCGCGTCCCGCGACGCTCGAGCCGCGGTCACGGTTCGATCCCGAGGGGCTTGGGGCGAATCCGACGTCAACGCCGGGGGGAGGGGGTCCGGTCAAGGACACGAACAGCCGGGCGGTTTTTGTGGACCACGAACAGCTTCAAAGTCCCCACAAGGTCTCAAGGCAAGGGCTTCCCACCAGCAGTGTAGTTGGGGTGCCCCTGTCACATCCACTCACTGGATGGGACGAGCCAAACCACCCAACTCCATGTGACTCCTGGCCAAACAGTCTTCTGGCCCTTTTGGAGACTGGGTTTTCATTTCGCTTTGCCTCGGCGACCCCGACCCCCACCCGGCCCAACGCCGCCCGCCAACCGCGGCACGACGGGTGGAGCTCTTGAAAGCACCAAGATTGGGGTAACTTTAGTGCTATCTACTCCTGACACCACTGCATTCATGAATGTGTGGAACCAGTTTTCCACCAGCAGCCACTTCCTACGTAGACTACGCGTAGTGGATCCCGGCGCGGCGGCAGTCCAATATCAAAGTAGGACACTGTGCTCAATCCAAAGCGTTTTCAACTGCACCCACAAAAAATCCACTGTGGGAGCAGGAACACTGGGAAAAGGAAGGTTTCGAACAACGAACAGTTTCAGGCCGTCAATCAGAATCAGTTGATGATCAACCCTGTTTTGCGCCGAAACTTAGCAAGGTTAGTAGGAAGATCGGCTCTACACCTTTGTGCCCAGTGAATATTGCCAAGCCAAGCACTGGAACATGGCCAAGCACACATCTGAACATGGCCAAGCACACATCTCTTGATGATCATTGGCGCTTTTGGTCACCGGAGTGAGTTACGCCAACGACCCAGGAGTTCAGTGGCCAAAGGCAGCGGACAAACCCGATTGGCAGCAAGCATCACACTGAACAATCCCAACACTTTGCATCCCAAAACGAGGCTTCAGAAAGCAACGTGCAGGAAATGCCCCAAGGATGATCATTGGACATGTGAAGTCAAGCACCACCCGCGCAACTTCCGCGTTGACCTGGTTCTTCAAAGTGACCTCTCGATCTCCTGGTTTTTGAAGGCACGTAGGTCACGTAGGCCTGGAAAGAGGAACGGTCGTCATTCGCACTGGCAACGAAGAAGTAGTAGAGCCTCCAGTCGCACGACTGTCGGACGTCCACGACTTTTCCAAAGCAAAAGCACCTCCTGAATCTTTTTTAAAGCCCCACGGCACAAATTGACAAATCCCTGGCGGCAATGGGCATAGAACATGTAGTCACCAACAGGACCCATCGCCACGAGACAAGACCTTGAAAACATGTCAGTTGATCCAACGAGTGATTGAAAGAATCCCGCCTAGTCTAGTGAACGACAGCAGGCAAATTGTGGCAGTGACATCTTTTGCGGCGTTTCTTTGGCGCACAAGCCTACTGCCTACTGCCCACACCCGGCGCCGGACACCCAACGGGGAGTTCGTTTTTTTGTTCTTTTTTCGCCACCCCCGGGCCGGCGCAGACGATGGCCCTGGTGGCCCGGCAAAGCCCAATGTCCACCAGAGGCCAGCGCCAACCCTCCGCCCCGTGCTAAGACCGGGCGCGCTCTCAGACCGACCGAGAGCCGGCACAGGTGGGCTGTAGCGAAGAAGAGCTGCGCGTGGCCTACAAGAAGCGCGCGCTGGAGACCTGGTGTTGCGGATGTTGGGTGATTTGGGATCCCGAAGTGGGTCTGATTCCCTTCCGCCGACTCTGGTTTCTTGATTTCTTCACCGGCTCAAGGAAGCCAACCCCGCTAAAGATGCTCGACTCGTCATGCATTGAGGTGTCTTTGTGGCCCTCCGTCCGGGGCTTTTATTTTTTGTACTGTTTTTTCCCCAGATAGCGAAGCTATGGGGTTCTTACTTCAAATAACAATGTGTTGCCCGTGCGCGCTTTCGAGACAGGTTGCTGGTGCTGGGTGCCGGTGCTGGTGCTGCTGGCTGTGCACGTGGTGGAGACAGGTTGCTGGTGCCGGTGCTGGTGCTGGGTGCCGGGTGCCGGTGCTGGTGCTGTGAGCTGGCTGTGCACGCGGTTGTGGGTGTGCGCGTGGTGGAGACAGGGTGCCGGTGCTGGGTGCCGGGTGCCGGTGCTGGTGCTGTGAGCTGGCTGTGCACTTGGTGGAGACAGGGTGCCGGTCCTGGTGCTGGGTGCTGGCTCTACGCGTGGTGGAGACAGGGTGCCGGGTGCCGGTGCCGGGCGCCGGTGCTGGGTGCTGGCTGTTCGCCTGGTGTTTCTTTCTTTTTCCAAACGAAAATGAGCTGGCTTCGCGCAGGGTGCCGGTGCTGGGTGCCGGTGCCGGGTGCTGGTGCTGGCTGTGTTGCTGGTGCTGGGTGCTTTGAGCTAGCTGTGCGCGTGGTGGAAACAGGGTGCCGGTGCCGGGTGCTGGTGCGGGCTGTGGGCGCGTGGTGGAGACACGGCGCCGGTGCTGGGCGCTGGCAGTGCGCGTGGAGGAGACAGCGGGCGCCGGTGCCGGTGCTGTGAGCTGGCAGTGCGTGTGGTGGAGACTGGGTGCCAGTGCTGCGTCCTGGCTGTGCGCAGCGTGGTGGAGACAGGGTCCCGGGTGCTGGGTGCTGGGCTGGGTGGTGGTGCCGGTGCTCGGTGCTGGTGCCCGCTTCTGACAGTGAAGTGATAACAACCGCCACAACCGCCGCTTCTGACAGTGAAGGCCGCTTGCAGCAGTGAAGGGCGACCAAGCGCGGCTTCTGACAATGAAGTGCCAGCAGTCATGGGCCGCATGAACTTATGCACGCAACATCATGCGGTGTTGTCGCTTGAGCGTTCTTTGTTTATTAGCGCTGTGGAGTATTTACACGTCAAGGATATAGAATTTGCGCGCATACTTTTGTACGCATAATGTTGTATGCGCAACGTCAAGCTCTCAACCGACCATGGTTTCAGCGTGTTTCAGCATGCTACACACACAAAAGTCGTGCTGGATACTGCTTGGCCTTGGGCGAGTGAAGCCTACGGGCTTTGCCGTTTGTGCGCGTACTTTTGTTCGCATAAACTTATACGCGCAAGATCATGCGGCCTCATCGTTCTGCATATCGTTGCTTCAAACATGCTACATAGTGGCGCTGGATACTGCTTGGCCTTGGGCCATACGTTGTTATTCCCCAAATAGGGCTAGCTATGGGGCTCTTGCTGCAAATAAGAATGAGCTGGCTGCGCGCGCTTTCGAAAGGGTGTCGGTGCTGGTGCTGGTGTCAGATGATTGTGCGCGCTGTGGAGGTGCCGTATTCTGGCTGCGCAGGCTGCGTACATTCTTGTTCCAGCCAGTCGCATGTCAACAGGTCGTGGGATTCTGCTTAGCTATCTGGGTCTATGCCGGTGTAATTTTAAATCTTTCTCTCTCTCTCTCTCTCTCTCTCTCTCTCCTTCTCCCCGGCCAGGAGACGCATCCCGACAAGGGCGGCTCCGTCGAGGAGTTCCGCGCCGTGAAGACGGCCTATGAGGCGCTCTCGAAGACCGTGTCCTCGAGTCCGGTCTCGGCGACATCCAGGTGGGGATGGAATCAGCATGGATGGACAGGTGAAGGGTGGATGGGATGGGAAAAGCATCGGACAGCTTTGAAGAATGTGACCTATTGTGACCTTGTTTTTTTTCTTGTTTTTCCAGTATAGTGATGAGTAGATGGCAGTAATGGCACTGGCACCCCTTCTTTTTGGCCAAGAGGTCTTAGCCACTATAGTCTTTTTGGATGCGGGTCCAGATCCACCACCTTTTTACCACCTTTTTTTGGCATCCATTGGTTTCAGACACCTTTTGAGTATTGTGCCATCTAGTGCCATCTACTCCGCACCCCCATCCCCAGACGTGTCAAGGGACGCTCAGACGATCGGAACCGCGGGTGGTTCCGATCGAGAGGACGGAGAGACGCAAAGCGGAGCGCATGTGGCGCTCAGGTGGAAGCCATCCACATGTGGCTGTGAGGAACCACCTCCACCAGCCCCCGTGGTAGGTTGACACCCCCGAACATAGGGGAATCTCTTCGATCCGGGCTCGGTGTGCCCGGGCTTTTTGGACTCACATGGCGTGGGCTGGTCCTTCCGAAGAGTTGTTCAATTGCGAAGGCGCCGGTGCTAGATGTGTGTTGAATCCCGTAGCATGTTCTATGTGGGACATGCTCAAGTTGAAAAACAACAAAACACAAGAAAAGACAGCAAAAGCCAATTGGAAGCAAACAATGGCTAAACACTCAAACCGAAACCCAAAAACAATCAGAAAGACGGCATGCTTGTGCTGGAGAAGTTTCCTCAAAAGAACCTGGTGGACGTCGCCTGGTGAAGCGGAAATTCTACAGTATATTGAATGTATTCTTTTCGGAGGTCCTTTCCTGGTGCACCTTCCATTCTTGGTTTTGGGTGTTCCTCCTGCTTTTGCGGGCACACCTGTAAAAACTAGAGAACAATGCAAGTTGTCACTTTTCCTTGCATTCGAGGATTTTCTTGGGTCATTTGTTTGCTGTTTATTGTTTTCTTCTTTGGTACTGCAAAGGCTGCCCTGGTCTTCTTTCAATAGGCCATGTTCCTGGAGAAGAGCCAACTAGCTCTGCTGAACACAATGCCGCTGAACAATTGCCTATCCACCTTCAGCAACTGACAATCATTCTATCATCTGCTGCATTTTGATTTTTTTTGGAGGGCATTTGAAGCCCTTGTTTGCCACCCCATCAAAGTGCTTAGGCCTCCACACCTCAAACCTTTCTTTTGGTGAGTGGACACCTCTGAAACTCTTGGGACCGCCGAGCCCCCCAGCGCCCCCAGGTCGACGTCGAACTCTCAAAGCTCTGCAGACTCCTTCTTCACACCCTTCACGCGCCCCTTCCCCGACGCCTTCGCGCGGCCCTTTACCGCCGCGCGCGACGGCGAGACGCGCCCCCTCCGGGTGAAGCGGAAGCGCACCATCGAGGAGACCATCGAGATGGCCTTCGCCGGGATCCCGCGGAGGGCCGCGCCGAAGCCGCAGGCGCCCGCGCCGAAGCCGAAGCCGAAGGTCGCCGCGCCGCCGAAGGTCGCGCCGCCCGCAGAGCCCAGCCCGCGGGCGCCAGTCCAGAACAGCCCGCAGGATCCGGAGGCGGCGCAGCTGTGGAGCCAACTGCTGCACCTGACGCCGGAGAAGCGGGCGCTGGCGATCACCGCGCTGCCGCCCAAGAGCAAGGAGCGGCTGACGGCGCATCTGAAGCGGCAGAAGCTGGCGCGCGGTCTGAGTGCAGAGACCAGCAGCAGCTCCAGCGGAACCTCCGAGTCGGAGTCGGAGACAGCGTCCGACTCGGACTCCGAGGCGGCGTGGGTTTTTTTTTTGTCGGCTGGCCGAACATGGTCACCGGCGGATTTGGGTGGGAGGAGTCGTCGTTGCTCGGTGGAGTGTCATGTTTTGAGGGAAGAGAGAGAGAGAGAGAGAGAGAGAGGGGGAAATCTCTTACTTTTGGGGGATCAACTTCCACCAGATCACCCGGCAGGCAGACGCTGCCGCCACCGTCTCCGCCGCCGTGGAAACCCCGCGGCCGTCGACGGTGGCGCTGACGGCATCCGAGCTGGAGGGCCTGGAGCAGCAGCTGCGGGCGATGGAGAAGACGGACCGGCCGGGGGGCGAGCGGGACAGCTCAGTAGCGGGGACGGTGGACAGCTCAGTAGTGGGGCGAGCTTCCGGTGAGCGGCTTGTGCGATGCAGGAAGAGGCGGAGGGATTTGAAGATTTTGAAGGCCTTGGGGCAGGTGCTAGAGTTACTAGAGTTCTGCATTGAGGAAACTGCAGAGGGGCGTTTTGGCGACGAGTCCGGCCTGCTAGAGAGAGAGGGAGAGAGGTCACTTAAAGTCACTTATTAAGTTATACTGTTATACTGTTTTCAACTAGAACTAGTTAGAATTAGTATGCGTTATTAATTGTGATCTCGCTCCACAACAACCTTGTGAGAAGGATGATGAGACAGGAGTAGCCTCCGAATGCTGCCCACAATGTGTGGACCTCTTTGTAACCTCCATGGGACTGCCATAGGACTGCCGCCCCAGCACGACCCCTCTGGCACCATCGCCGACCGAAGCGCCAGGAGAGAAGGAGCTTCCTCTGCCGCTTGACGAAGGAGACTCGGGTCTCCTTGGAGCCTTGGCCTGGGCCGAGTGGCCAACCCCCCCCCTGCGCGATTTTGATGATTTTGGGAGTTGGAGGGGAACTTGGGATCAGGAGCTTATTTCTTTGGGGTGACTGTCCTGGCGTGAAGGCAAGAGCCTGTTGGAGGGCAATAGGGCAAATCCAGCATTCAGAGGCGTGGAGATGCATAGAGCTAAGTTACAATATAACCGTGTATCGCCTATGGTTGCCTTTTTTGGCATATCAGTACAAGATAAAGTAGCATCAGAACATATCAAACAATGATATATTTCCCACGATTTCACTCATTGTTTCTTTTACGCGACATCGTGCATTATTTTATCTTTCCTTCAGAATCCTATAGGGGGATTGTCATACCATCAAATAAATCGCATTGACAATTTTGTTATTGAAATTGATGTAGCCAATTTATATATATATATATAACCAAGAATAGAACACTGTAAGCCACAATATCCCGGGGTGACCCGTTGGTTCGCATTTTGATGAGAGGATTTTGGAGAGGTTGGCATCAGAGCCTGTGGAACCATGACAAACAGTTTGGATGATGAACACTCCCTGGAACTAACAGGGAAGTGGATCGCATGGCCCCACAGGAAGAGCCTTTTCCTCTACAGCAGGATTTTGTTCACTTCCATGTTGGCTCCAGGGAGAGCATTGGTCAACTGTGCAGTAGGGTTCCATCCAAGCCGGTTAGGGGGTGATATGTTGAGTCGCAGTAGTATGGCACCGTTACCATAAAGTTCCGTTGTCTTGCGGTACATAGGGACTAGTGGTCCCGAAGCAGATGAAGGCACGTCTCAAGGGGATTTGCTCGGGAGAATAGGCCACATCATTGAGGACTGGAGGACGCGACCTGCGATATTCCTCGGTGAGGGTGATGCTCCTCGGTGATGACTTCTCGTTCTTCCTGAACCCTAGGAATCCGGGTTTTGAGGGCCCACACACCCCTGCGAAGGTGTCGAGTCCGACCCCTGCCATGGAGAGCCCTAGGATTCTTAGGGAAGAAACACTTTACCTGCCCAAAGGACGACCGGTGCTGATTGTACATTCAGCACCTTGGTCAAGTCCTTTGCTTCAGAACTGAGCGAAGGAGGACTTGCAGGTGATTCACTAACCTTCGCGTGGGTGCCTGAATCCAAGTAGGGAGACTTCCCAGTCCGACCCCCTGGAAGAAGAGAAATCGATCAAAACTGATTGCTTCGGGGCCTCCATCTTCGCAGACACACGCCCCGTCTCTGTCGTCCAACCGTCCTGAGGAGCAGTTCGTTCGCTCGAAGCAACGACCGAAGCGACCTGCTTGACCGAGCCAAAAGTGGTGACGGGATGGAGGATCCAAGCAGCCAGGAAGACGTGGGACCCAACAGACCTGTTTGTGGCCCCCAAGACGTGTTTGGTGTTTCCTACCTGAACTCAGCATTTTGGTGGGGTTGGGGACTGGAGGTTTCTTTGGTTCTTTTTCCTTCTCCGAGTGCCAGCGTATCGTGTGCCCTGTTTCCAGAGACTGCTGGTATCATCTTTCAGAGGTGGAACAAACTCACCCCGCACCCAGAAAAAGGTCTCGTTTTGACCTGCGCGCGCCCACGCGCCCCGCGGATGGTCCGTACTGCCTCCTTGAGCCGGGAAGGCCCATGGAGGACTTGTGCTGCCACATGGAGAAGATCATCGCGGAGTGTCGGGGTTTCCCAGATTTGGCCCCTGCACGGTGGTCCAAGAAGCAGTCGCGGGCGCGGAAGGTGGTGAATTTTTTTGGTGGTTATAACCAGCGCGGACTACACTCATAGACAAGCAGTGTGAAGGCACCTAGATCTTTATCATATCTGTATCATGCAGTTCGAAGATTATATATATATATATCATACAACACAATATGTTGTTTTGCGGACATGGAGTTAGCATATACAGGTGGAGCAATGACCAACACCTGCTTTGACAGAGTCTGCACACGTCAAGGTGTCTCCAAGTCTTTTTTCATCCATTTACTGCTGTCTGCCCTGGTGGGACAGAGAGTTCTGTGCCAAACCGCTGATTGAAAGACCCCCGGCGTTCCTGGAGGGCTCTTTGCCCCCAGCCTTGGCCCGGGCCAAACGCCTGTTTTGGACCCTTTCGGAGTACTTAGGACATTCCGATGACATCCATAGAGATCCAAGAAGCTCCAGCTTCCGCCTCCAGCTGCCTCGCTCGATGCTGCTAGGTAAACCGCAAGAACTCTCGAATGTGATCTACGCGCTGGGCTTGCTCCAGCACAAGGCGCTGCGATGCGGTAGACCACACGGATGGAACAGTTGTCGCAGTGCACAAAGCATCTTCAGAGTCGAGATTGAAAAAGACCGTAGACACGGAGGCAATACTGAACTTCAGGAAGGGACTTGATTCATGGTCACAGCTACTGTCGCATTTTGCTGGGCGGGTCAGTTCCGCGTGGGGGCGCTGCCCTGCTAGGAGGCACTGTGGCGAAGCGCCTGCAGTGAGGCACAGCGCAGGTGCGGTTGGGTGGGGAAATGGGCGGTGTCCAAGCGGGAGTAAAAGCTGCTTGGGAAACGAGAGAGAGCGAGAGAGAGAGAGAGAGAGAGAGAAAGAGAGAGCTTCTTTAGGGACCACTAGTTAGGTGACTAGCTTGTTGCAGTTTGTCCTTTGCAATCGTTTGTTGTTGCCATCTACGTGCTTTGCATTCAATGTGTAGTGCTGCAAGATCCTTCAGAACTGCACCGGTCTTGCTCTTGAGGACTTTGCCTTCCCTGGTGCCCTCCTTGTTGCAAGATCCTTGATCAACAAACCTGTCCACATAACTTCAGGGGCCCAAACCGCTGAAAAAATGTCTAAAGTGGATTGAGAGTAGATGGCACAGACTAGATGGGGTTCCTCTAGATGGGGTTCCAATCCACTAAAAACAAAAAACACCAGCACTTCTTTGCAACCGCCGAGTGCTGGAAGCTGTCAGCACCCGTCAGGGCCGAGGAATTTGTGGCCCAGGAGGGGAAGGAAGGAAGGGCTGGTTGGAGCTGTCCAGCAGCGAGGAGGCTCCTGAACCCCCATCAAACACCTCAAGAAACACCTCATCAAATTTGCACCTGGGTGAGGTAGGGAGGCACAAAATGGATCCAAACTGACGAGACGCATGGTATTTTTCACCATCAATAACACTGATCATGACCTTTCTTTGTGCCCCTGTTACGGCCCCTGTTGGGCACCAAGCGCTCCGGACGAGGCACGGCGGGGAGTGTGACCCACACGATTGCCGAACATACCGTCGATGGCAGACATGCAACATCCCGAAGTCCATTACCAAAATGGGAACGATATGGTATTGTTATAGTTAGTGCAAAAGCCTTAGTAAAGCAATGGTGGGCCACAACTTCTAGGGCATCTATTTGAGATAGGGACAGCCAAAAAGCTGCTCTCTTTGCACCATTTTGCACCTGGGTGAGGTAGGGAGGCACAAGATGGATCCAAACTGAAGAGACACATGGTCACCTCCTTTGCAGTTTGAGCCTTGGGGACGGGAGGTAGCTGGTGACTACCCAGACCTTTGCTGGTGACGGGCGTTTCTTCTTGGTTTGTGTGCATTCCATCTCAGATACGTTTTCAGAGTAGATGGCACAATTCCCAACCCTACGTCCAGTCTGACCCAGCAAAGCCTAGTCCTGAAAACCTCCTTGAGTAGTTCTTTAGTTCTTTAGTATAACTTAACTCCAGTAAAATGAGGTCTTTGACCTGTAGGGCAAGATGTTTTGTAGATCGGGGTCTGTAAGAGCCACCTTGTGGGGATTGTGCCATCTACTTTGCACCCGCAAAAAAACCTTGTGTTCTGGCACAGGCGAAGCTCCGCCAGACAGACCATTTGCACCCCCGGTCGGGCGATTTTGGGGCAGTCCAACGTGTCCAATGCGAACAGAGAGGGCTAGCAGTCACTAGCATCCTCCTGCAAATGAGTTGGTGTTTGGGATATGTTGGGATCTGCTAGCGGTTGTCTTTTTTCTCCCTCCACACGAATTCTGGCCACTCTGGAGACCCCGGCGCTTGAAGACACCATCTCAGATAGGCCGACACCCTGGAGGGCAACCCGCAGGAAGCCAACTTGGACACCCTGATGATGCCAACCTGTTTCGCTGAAACACCACCACACCCAACAGGTTTCATACAAGTGGGGGAGTCATCACATGATGAAGAGAAAGAGGGCCAGGGCTTCAACATGTTTCAACCCACCAACAATGCCAGAAAGGATGGTGAGACTTCTGCTCTTCGCTTGTCGGAACTCACCCCATCCAGGACTCAAGCTAGGGCTCAGGGCTGGCGGCATGAGCAGAACGAGATAAGAACCAGCAGGATGTCAGCAGCATGAGCACATCACATCCGAGTCAAAAACCCAACACCGGTGGACGGTACTTATAGAGTTTCCTTGACCTCCGCAGGAGGTTCTGCAGCTTTGAGAAGCTTTGAGTCTATCCACCGAGACTCCGGAGATCGGAGCACCGCTTCTTTGAGATCGGAGCGGGTGAAACCCGGTGGTTTTTCTTGGGGAAGCCCCGAAATACGAGGAAAGCTCCTGATTGTCACGCCGTGCAGCGGGAAGGAAGGTCGGCAAGCAGAGCATTTGGAGTGTTCTCGTTCTCTCAGTGAAGCCATGTGTCCCTAACTGCGTGCGCATGGGCGCGCCAGCAGCGGCGGCGCATGCGGGATGCAGGTGAACAGCTGCCGACCCCCAAAATGGAAGACACGGGACTGAAGAGTGGTGAGTAGAGAGCGCCAGGAGTCATATGTCAAGGTTGTTTTCAGTCCCTAAGTGATTGGATAATGGGCACCCCTATCCTCCAAGTTCGGCACCCCGTTGTGACTGCTGGTGGATGGATGTAAAAACAGCTACCCAGCTACCCGAGGCAACACTGGCGCTCTCAGGTTTGGAAACTCAATGGGGCACAAGACAGCATTCCAACCACCACTCAGAAATTCGAAATCGTCCCGAAATCTCGTCCGCTGTGATGCCCGAAAAAAGCCCCGGCCCCAAAAGCATTGGTGCTGGCATTTTCCAGCACCTTTTTAGCATTTGGACAGCTCTGGCCTTCCTTGGTTTTCCGGGCAAAGCCGTTGGATGCGCGTTTCCGCCCTGGCCGTCTTCGGAGGAGTCCAACACCACCATCTGGAACCTGCAGGTGGAACCCCCACGGACCGAAACACCGGAGGAAGATGGGACCGAGTCAGTCCCCCCGGGCGAAGGCGGCGGCCCTGTGCGCCTTCGGTCTGTTGCTGCCGTGGACGGCTCGGGGGCAGAGCTGTTGGCATGGCGAGTTCGATGCGTCTGGGCGCGGGGTTTGGTGCGTGGGGAGGGGTTTGGTGCGTGGAGCTTGGCGTAGATGGCCACGAGAAAGCCAAAAAAGGTTGCGAGCCTATGGGCCATAGGGATCTCCATATTTAACAAAAGAACAAGAACATCTTAGGATATCTAGGGTCACTTGTGCCATCTCATCTCAATTTACGGTATTTGATCTCCGCTTTTCATCCAGCCTTCCATGGATTGGGAGCAAGCGAATCTTCTGGGGAGCTGACGGAAATCGTGAGCCAATCTTCCGGCAGATTGAAGATGAGGGTGAAGACACGTGGTATATATAAATCGCCGACAGTATAGCCGACAATCGCCCCATGGTAGCTTGCCCACCTGACACGTCTAGTGGCACCCAGTTCAGTTGCAGGGTTCAGCTCCCTCCATCCAAGCCATTGAATTGCTTGGCCTGGAGGGTGTCTTGTGAGCTCAACCAGCCCTTCGCGCGTTCGTCGAACGAATTCTGCGGCGCGGTTGGTCTCTGCGTCCGTCGTCCAGTCTCTATGCAGTCGTCCCGGCTCAACGGTACGGTCCGTGGACTGAGAAAAGGATTGCAAGAAGGCCCAGAGGTGTTCAATGTGGCTACAGTGGTTTCAGAGGTTCAGTTCGCTTCTTAGCCCAAAGAGGATGTTTTCATTCTTACATTATGGGACTCCATGTCAACCGCCTCTTGGGGATTTTGCCCCACATCTTGAGCTGAAGGATGCAGATAGACTCCCCGGAATCGCCATCGAAGTGGTATGGCACCACCAGTTTGGTACTCAAACCACCATGGTGCATCCATTCGGGGCCATCCGCAGAATCCAATGAAGTGGAGTGCAAAGCAATTCATGCCGGAACCCTAAACCCCTCCAAGGGCTTACTCTCCGAACTAACATGGAAGTGGAGTTCACCCCTGTTTGTAGTGGAAATGGTCTTCCTTTTGGGGTCATTCTCCAGTTCCATGTTAGTTCCAGGGAGAGTAGCGCACTGCACCTGGTAGTCAATCCATCCGCTACCAGGCCGGGCTAGTTCATGAGTCCTGGAACGACTACAACGTTGGAACCCGGAAGCCGTCACTGTGGCAAACAGGGCACCTTCTCGACCAATAGGGGCCGTCCAGTGGCAAACAGGCTGTAAAGTTGGATCAATATGGTTCCCATATTGGGGGGTGTCCCATTACCTGTCACAGAGGGTCAACAATCATGACGAGGCCTTGGGAGAAAGGCCTTGCAACATGCTCGAAATCTTGAGTAAGAGAATAAAAACTAACCATCAGCCCCAATTCCCATATATAGACCCACCAAAAAGGCACTTTTTCGGCATGTGAAGCATCTCTTGTGCCACCCGGCCGAGGAGCAGCGCTGTTGCGTGAAGAACGACCCGGCCTGCTGGGACGCCCCTTGACGATGTCCGTGCACCGGAGGTGTCCCTTCTCCACTCACTTAGGGACTGAACTCCTGGTGTCCTTTGCTTTGATTTTGATAAATGGGGCAGCTCCTTTTTGGTTCTTGGCGTTGACCACCACTGACTGAACATGTGTGAAGGAATGCAGTCCTTGGCCCCAACTAGGGCGGTGGTGCAAAGGGATCCCACCAACGACCGATGGTCGTTGGGAACGAGTTGTTGGACCGAAAGCTCCTCCTATGCTGCCTGGTGTTGGAACAAAGGAACATCGCTTCAACAGCTTCAACACGCCGCGCTCGCGGAGTCCTTTTCTATCGCATGATTTTGCTCCATCCTTAATCATCCTTTGTGTCATGACACCCATGGTCCCCTTGTCCGCATGAAGGGATTCGTCTTCCACCTGGCGCAAAAATCGAGCGCCCTCCACCCGTGGCGGGCGAGCCCAGCACCGGTCGGACCCCCCGCGCTGCGCAACCCCCCCCCCGCACCAGTCGCGCTCGGGACGGAGGAACCGTGAGTGCCGTGCCCCGCGGAAGCTCGGCGGGTTCACCTTCGCTGAGGACCTGTACACGCGCGGCAAGTGTTGCATGGGCAACGAGACGCGGAGGAGTCGCGGGGATCCGACCTGCTGGATGGATGGCTATTCCTACGAGGAGAGAGGGGAGGGGTTTGTCCGACCCGATGTCGGACACCCGGCCCACAGCGTGTGGTTCAATCAGTTGAACTGATCCTTCTTGAATTCCAAGGGTTTGCCATGACCCACTTGATGTCTTGAGCGCCAATCAAAACTGCGATGCCCACGAAACCTGCCATGACCGCAGTAGTAAGTTAGAGGTTTTGACCGTTGCTTGATCTTATTTTTATGGCAATGGAACTTGTAGACTCACACCATGTCTGACATCGTGGTTCATGTTGAAGGGCACCTTTTTGAGCGGTTGGGTTCATGAAGCCGCCAAAGGATGCTGTTGGGCCACTGAGAGTGATGATGATTGATGTTCTTTTCCTTTCTCATCCTGCAGGTCAAGTACCACAAGTAATCCCGATTGGTGTCTGCGGCGTTGGGCCGCGAACCTTGCATGTGGCTTCTCTCTGCGGCAAGGAGTGCTGCAAGGAGAACCCCAAAGACGGCTGTTGGGATGCCAACTTTGGGCCGCTCGGCTGCTTGACACCGGTCACAAAAAGGCTCCCCTTTTGACTGTCTTTTTGACAAAAGGAGGGCCTGAGCGGACCCCAAAGACAGCCTCCTTTGAGCATATTGTTGGGCACATCT